CCCCAAAACCCCAAAACCCCAAAACCCCAAAACCCCTTAAAGATAGGTAGAAATTGATTTCGGTGAAGTTAAATTTTTAATTTTTCTTTGCACAAACAAAAATGAATTTCGAGTTTGCGTCACTTCATTCTTATCCTTTTATTTACTATTTACACATAAACCCACAATATACCCTCTAAACCTTATAGAACGACAAATAGCTATCCCTTCCAAATTCGCTCTTAGCTAGTTCAATATTTATTAAAGAAACAAAGGAATAACTCCCTCAAATTGATAAATTATTGCGCTCGAGAAGGATTAGCAGCAATTCTTTTTCTTCTTCTTAGTCTTCCCATTACTCAAACCAGTTGAAATACTTGTTGGTATAGTATTCCCAGGCTTGATTCCAATACTCTCTTTATGGATATCATACTCTCCTCTCTCAAGGTTGAAATAAATGTCTTTGGTGACTGACAGAAAGGCTTTATCAACATTATATGCACACTTTGCTGAAGTTTCGAAAAACACTAGCCCATTGTCCTTAGCAAAGGCTTGCCCTTCTTCATAAGAAACCTGCCTCTCAGATTCGAGATCTGTCTTGTTGCCGACCAAAATAATTGTCATTCTTGAATGCGCATTTTCTTTCATTTCTTCCATCCATTTTTGTAAATTCTCGAAGGATTGCCGTTGAGTGATGTCATAAACCAGCAAAGCTCCTATTGATCCTCTGTAATAACTTCTGGTGATTGATCTGAAGGATTCTTGACCTGCAGTGTCCCAAATTTGTAATTTTACTGACTTATCACCAACTTCAACAGTTCTTGAACCAAACTCTACTCCAATAGTGAGGTCGTGAGTACTCTTGAATCTCTTGTCAGTAAACTGGAGCAAGAGGCAGCTTTTGCCAACTGCGGAATCACCGACTATAATGTACTTGAACACATAGGAATAAGACTGGAAGGCCATTGTAGTTAAAAATTATATTGATTTCTGACAATATTTCTTTCTGTAAAAGGGGTTTTGGGGTTTTGGGGTTTTGGGGTTTTGGGG